AAATCAATAAATTTATTAATTTAATAAACTTCAACAAATATTTTTAACATTTTCTCATTTTCTATTTTCATTATTGCAAACTGTGAATATACGGTATACATTAATTTTAACCTTTTTTTTCTGCGTTATTTTATGTTTTGTGCTTTTTGAGGTGGATCTCTACTGTCCCTGATTAGGCTTATTATTTTGTATTTTAGACTCATTTGATGTGCTTTCTGCAAGTGTAATTGTTAAAAATGTAATTATTGTTAATCCATTTTTATTTTTTTTACTGAGTTGTGATGGCGAAACTTCAGTGAACATTTAACAGCTTTTTATTGGAAAGCTTAGACCTACATTAGCACAGCATGTAGCTCTGGGTGCAGTGCATGATGGGTATCAGTCTAGATTTCTGTGCTGCCAGTGAAGGGAAAGTCCCAGGCAGAAAGGGGAAACTCCACTAAATAGCCAACAGGCACGAGACAATCATTTGAATGTCTTCCCTGAGGACTTTATGACCACGAGAGGCCTCACAATGATCATTACTGTGTGAAAAAAACAATGAAAGATAATTGCATATGTTTGCAAAAAACAAACCAAAAACCAGACAAGACAGTTCAGGTGACATGAAATTCACAAACACGTGGCTGACGTAACCGCTGTAAATGCAAATCGACTGAAAAAGGACATCTTCACTGCATTTGTACCTGAGAGACTGTTATCTGACTAATGTGCTCCCTACATAGGCGGTATTTTAAGATGTTCCAGGTGCTCTTTTGACATGAAGGTCGTTTGAACAATGAAATATTCATACAACATGGTGGACAAAGATGCAATTCACCCATTTTTTAAAAGTTCTGATGAAAAATAGTTAAAAGCCCTTGTGAAAAAAAAAGTGCACTTAATTGTACTGTAGTGCACTCGTAGTATATCAGAAGTATATTTTTAAAACTGTACTTGCAGATCATATAATATTACTGAAATAAAAGGCCACTTAAGTGACTTAAAGAGAGATGCTTTCATGACTGTTTCTCAACACACTTAAGTAGACTTTTCATATAGAATCTCATATACATTTAAACAATGTCACATTTGTATTTTATTGCAATTAACGAGCAATCAAGTGTCCAAAAGCATTACATTCAGTATCCCTTCACTTCAGTATATTCTTCTTCTTATAAGAATATTATTTCCATAATAAGTGCTCTTTTAAATGTGTATTTTAGTATTCTACCAAATATTTGTGTGTATTGTTAGGTTAGCAGTATGCTTACACCAAACTTTTAAAAGTTATATACACGTTAGGGCAAAACATTCTTAAAGTAATGTTTATGGGACGTTCTTAAACATTATTAATATTTGATATATGTTCTCATAACATTGAGAGAAAACGTTCTGAGATCAACATTCTTGCAACGTCCTTATGATGTCATTTGTACTTGATGAACGTTCTAAGAAACATTTTTTGAAACCTTTAAGTAACATTCCAATTGTGACAAGAAACCTAGACATTTTTTCGTTATTAGATTATTAAAAATAAACATTCAAATAACATTATTTCGGGTGACAAAGTTAGTAGAACATTTAAGAAACATTTTAGTCATATTTAAATAATGTTCTAATCACAACAAGAAAACTGGACAATTAATGTTCTTAGAATATTAACATAAACATTCGAAATAACGTTATATTTTGACTGAAAATAAAGTTAGTGGAACGTTGGAGGAAACGTTTTTATAACCTTTCAATAACGTTCTAATCACAACAAGAAAACTGGACATTTCAACGTTTTAGAAACATTTCAAAACAATGTTCCGACAATGTTTGTATAACCTAAATTTGTTAGCTGGGAAGTTGCGGACGTCCGTTGACATACGACACGTTTCTATATTAAAAACAGCTAGGCGGCGTGAGACTGAATGAAGAAGATCTCGAGATGCGATTAAAACGTTACGCAGTTTTAATTTCACATACAGCAAAAAATTAAAATAGAAATATAAATAAAACAAGAAATCAAAAACCAGCCCCTTAGCAGCTTAAAGTGAAGCCACTGCTTCAAAAACCACAGCTTCCCATCAATGAATCACCATGTTAATCTGAGAAGACACAACATGAAACGCGTTTCGCCGAATATCTTTAGGCTCGCCTCGACAGCACCTCAAAATTTACAATCTGGAGTTTAATTAACAGCAAACGCAAACACTTCGCCAGCTGCTCAACAAAGCTTTACTAATCACAGGCATTATTAGAGCTTTAGTGAAGTCTCGGCATCTTCATGAGATGTGACACTTATGCCGCGTTCACACTGCACGATTTTAGCCAGATTTTTCACTCGCTAATAATAATAAATAAATAAATAAATAAATAAATAAATAAAATAGAAAAGGATAATATAATAAAAATCAACTCAACAAAATAAAATAAAATAATAAAATGAGAGAGGGGGATTTTGTATTCAGGCATGTAAATTATATTGGCACAAGACTATAATTATTGAAAAGAGTTTTGAATAAAATAAAAAAAATTAAAATTAAAATAAAAAAAAAGTGACAGCATGAGTGGGGGATTTTGTATTCAGGCATTTAAATTATATTGGCACAATACTATAATTATTAAG